ATATAGTGTGGGTATCTGTAATTATTAAAACAATCTAGACACATGTCTATCTATATAGGTTGCATTATCATGCGTGCCTTCAGAAATACAATTGTGGATGTATCAATGCGTTATTCTGTGCGCACACAATCACTTCAGCTACACAGAAACAATAGACCTACCTTGTTCGCAGACTCTGTTATATCCGAGTTCGTCTTTCCAAGCGAATGCCGCGGTGGTGGTGGTGTGCGCAACGACAGAGGTTTACTAGCGGGTTTACCCATAGACATAGATGTCTCGAGTGTCCGTATTGGGGCGACATTAAACTTATCGGCAACATAGTTGAACGACTGTAGCGGTGCTATCTTCAGCCCAGTTGCGGCTGTAAGCTCACTCATAAACTGAGGTGGTAGGGAACGTTGTCTATTTCCTCCTTTCACATACTGAAGCAATAGAGCCCACTGAAAGATCTCGTCTAATCCATCGAACATTGCGTCGTTCGGTTGTAACTGTAAACTACCTATGCCCGGTGTATTGGGCTTGATTTGTATACCCTGCTTCTTGGGTGTAGGGTCAACCATAGGCCGGTTGACTCGAGCTGATTTAGTATTTGGTTTGGGCTGAGCAAGCCTTGCTCGTTCTTCTAATAAGGAATCTGGCAGAGCTACACGCAGCCCTACTTTCTCGGTGTATTTGGGGTCGATCCATACCTCTACAACACCTTTAATAACTATGGAATGTATGTATTGATTGTCACTAACATAGTCTTGTTCGGAGCTATATAGCAACATTTGATCCGTAATGACGGCATAATACTTCTTGCGCTCGGGCATGAGCACCACCCAGCCCTTCCGCTTGACTTCCATCGCCATGTTTGCATTCACACCATACCAGTGTATGTGAGCGTGTCTTCAGCACACATGTACACAATGAGGGGTGCGACACACACACATAAACACGCGAATTGTAACTGATGATGGTATATATGCTAGATCTCCGTGGTATATATGAACATATGTGTACATATATGTGCAAAATCAAAATTTAAGATATTAAACTATGCTTTTTATTTATTTACTACAGTATGTATGTGCTTCTTGTGTATACCACTATACCTATTTAAAAATTCTCTATTTATGTAATGTTTATACATATATCAGAGTAATATTTACAATTCACTGAGCCAAAAGTACGAACCTGTCCCATTGCTAGCAGAGGGGTACTCCAGCGGTCTCCAGGCCCTATCGTCAATAAGTTATGGGTCTCAAGCATAAAAGTTGAACGTAAACGTTCTGTTTCCCGTTTTTTAAAACGGGTTTTAAAAAGATGTTGCCGGCTGGTTAGTTGAACCTAAACCGTTATATACGTTTTAAACTAGACACGATTTTAAAATAAATAAATAACGTTTTTGAGCTTTATCTCAAATCAAATCGCCTATTCGCAAATTCTAGATCCAATTTTTTTTTTTGAAACAATCAAGAACAATCATTTTTTTAATAAAATAAAGCAATCTGCGGTTTGGTATTTGAACCTATTTCAGAGTTTTTAGGGGTTTCACATGGACCTACTGTCTGATCTAGAATGGTTTTCATCTTCTGGTAATATTATTCGACCCCTACTACTCTACATACATACATACATACATACATACTAGAGAGAGATATATATAGATATATATATATATATATATATATAGAGAGATATATATATATATATATATATATATATATATATATAGAGGGAGAGAGAGAGATATATATAAATATACCCAATGAAAGAAAAGTGCTCATCACAAAACGAGCTGTAAGCCACTCAATGCACACGTGTATAAATAATGATGTCTTTGGGACTCATTCATAACGACACATCCGCCGGCGTAGTAGGGCTCTAAATCGCCGAATGAATTCCCTATTTACAAGCACATACATAGAGGCAAACAATCATGTTTTGAGGTTCTCGATCTGAGTATAGATAGGATCGTGCACCATAATTTGCTTATATTAAGATAAAAAATTGTAAGGCAGGCTCAGACCTTCGAAGGATGTGCCGAGTCAGCCGTTCGGAACAATTTGACATTCCTAGTCGGCAGCAAACCATGTTTATCATTCCAAATATAAGAGCTAGCTTATGAAAAAATCCCTCACAGGAAGCTGAGACAAACGCTATAGGTGCATATGTATATGGGAATATCTTGAAATACACCTCGTCAATCGAATATAGGTTTCCGAAGTTACCTCATTCTGTGAGCGAACAATAAAGAGAAGAAATGGTTTCATAGAAACCATGCCATTTATGGACTATTTGTTTGCCTTCAGATATTGTATAGTATATTATTTTCTATATGCCAGCTCCCTTCAACGGTTCTGCCATTTCAACCCCCACGCTATGATGTGACTAAGAAAACGACTACGTGTTTATGTTATCGTGAAAAATTTATGTGCTTAAGGTGAGAACCAGGTGCTCTTTATCGCATTTAATGCAAAAATTCTCCCTGCACTTTAGTTTACAAGTACATGACAAAACTATACACTCTCAGAGTTATGATACTTGCGCTAACGTGACATTCTTGTACATGTTGCCGTCATACTGATAGTCACTATGAACAGACATCATAGGTATTTCGTGTGCACATTGTGTTACCGTTGTTACCGTGGGCTTTCATGATATGGTTTCGCTGCTTCTGGCTTCTGTCGTGTGCAAATGTCAACAACCTCTTTGTTTACGTGCGACTATTTATGTATTTATTTTCAACATTTGATTATTGGTGTTTTTTTTCTTCATAGCCTTCTAAATTATAAATTTAAAAAAATACAAAGCAAAAAAATACATCGCCGTCGTTTTCTGATGATCTGACATGTATTAAACTATCGATCAAAGAAAGCGATGTAGTCCAGATCAAAAAGCTTGTAGCTGGTATCCGACTTTATGTTTTATATCAAACTGTCCACCGACATAGAGCGCGTAATCGATGATACTACCATTTATAGTCATAATCGGATGGCGGGTCTTTTCGATGACTGTACTTATGTGGAAATGGCATCAGAATACTACTAATAAAAAAAGAGTATGTGAATATGTACTATATATTTACAATATTGATAGTGAAACAGCTCACACGAAAGTCGAGGGCTGAGAAAAGTCAGTATGTATAAAGCTGGGAGAAGTGTTTGCCTGCACGCCACTTTCGATGTAGTTGCTTATTACGTAGTAGTCTTGCGTAGTCCAGAGCTTAGTCTAAATTAGCGTAGCTGTCTGGTGCCTCGCAATCAGGTATGTTTGGGCCATAGCACATGCGGGGTTGATTCGGTGCCGATCTGTTGTGAGTTTTCTGTTATGTTCTAACTATGACGGCGTGCTAAGTGCTTTCATCTATATACAATGGATCTCCTATTGCTTAGCTATGGCTACAGTGCATGTACCTCTCCACGCTTGATGCATAGCAGCATAGGCACTGTCTAGGAAGAAATTCCTCGCCCCAGGTGTGTTTTTGGTGCTATCTGTATATGTTGCTATAGCACTTGTTACTGCAAAGCGTCTTCTTTAGCTTTGAGCAGTGTCTGCTGTCTGTGTACTATGTTCGGTCAGTATCATAATCGGGTTAAAAAAAAGTCTTTCATCACTGTGGCAACCCTGTACGGTGCACCTGCTGCGGGTTGCCACGAGGCTACGCACTCTCCATACACTGGGGAGTCTAAAGCGTACTAACGTTCTATTGAAATGAGTTAGAGATGAGATACGACTCGTTTACCAGCTTAGACCTTGGATTCACGCGCAAGTGTATTCTGGAACTATGCATACTAAACTACCGAATGTTCCGCTCACACATGACACTAACATATTGCAAGTCACTTTTATTTGGTTCATACTTAATCGCAGACATTCACAATAATGTTACGGAAACTTCTCAACAAACCTATCGGCGTATTGTTTGGAGGTGGCAACAACGAAGCACCTCCAGTCGTTGCAAAAATAAGCGGCGGAGTTGTTGCAAAAACAAGCGGCGGAGTTGTTGCGACAGACATGGCGACTGTTGAAGCGCGCGAGAGCCTTGTAGCCGACCACACTCAAAAACAGTATGTTCAGTCGTATGTGCATGTCGTGGAATAAAAGTACTTGATAGTAGCTATATGCTAATATGTTCAAGGTATCCTGCGCCTGACTTACGTGTGCTATTCCCGACAATGTCTCTCCAGTTGCTATTTTGGAGAGTGTCTTCCATTTACTACCCGAAACCTGAGAAGTTACGTCGCTGTGTATGTCGAATGTTCTGCGTGGTTATTAAGAGGCATCTTGCGTCTATGGACGATTCAATCTCGAGATGATGAGAGACTCTTCTATTCACTCAGAGTGCTGCGAATGGCTATTGTTATCGAACACCCATTTGAACTGTTCATGAATCAGACCCGGTACTCTCATCTTCACCGACAAAATCTACCCTTGAACTGTTCATGAATCAGACCCGGTACTCTCATCTTCACCGACAAAATCTACCTCGTGTCTCTTGTCCATCACATGTGGTTGGAATTAAATGAGGATCACCTCTTCTTGTTGCTGTGAATTGCTATTGCGTATTGTCTAACTCTTGATGTCACGCACATCCGCTGTGCGCACTAGTCGCGACCAACCTGTCGATGAGAACAATGACAGCAGTCCCTCAACGCGCCACGAGCCCTCATTGCCTGATCAAGTGCCTACGCTCGAGACGGATCTTGTCAGGTATGCATAGTACGTGCATAAGGGACTGATAAATGTACGATACGAGGTCGCTTGTGCTATCATACGGGAACGTTCATGACCCTGGTTTAATATCATGTGGTGTCATACGGAGACGTTCATGATTATGACTTTATATTTTATATCATGTGTAGACGTATTTGCTTGTGCTATACACTGCCGAGTGTTGCCAACATGGCTTCTCACCCTATTCGATGGTGTGCCTTGGAACGATATACTTTTTGAATTCTCAACTTCCAACTGCGGACCCTTTTAAATCGAATCGGTAAGTTAACACAGCTCACACGCAATCGTAGTTGATACAAAGTCTTATCCATCGATGAAAGAGGTGTATGTGTGCCATGCGCCTAATCCAATACTATGATGCTGTATGTACCGATACACAGCATAAATTCCCCTGTTATACTCTCGTGCTCGTATCAAAAGGCAATTGTACCAAAATTTAACTCGTAAGTTCTATCATATCAGATCTGGTGTGTATTCTTATATGCATATTGTTATCTCATCTCGTGTGACCGTCTTATATCCCACGCATACTGCTTTTGCGTTTCTCACGGGTACTTCCATCACATACCGGTGCAGTAACCAGGTTCCGAGTGCTTCATTACAGCAGAGCGCGAACAGGAGTGTGCCAGATAAGTGCAGTGTACGGCAGTCATCTGTTAATGCCAGGCTGAGTGACTCGGTCGACAGAGAGGTTCATCGCGATGATGCTGTTCCCCATAGGGAAAGTAGGGTTGGCGAAGTTCCGAATATTCTCGAGGCGAATGACAGGTGAGTTGGTACTTTCTGTATTCAATTAGCTTTTGCACGGATTTTGTTCGACTCACACGTATTTTACGGCAGTATACGATAGGTGATACCAAACAGCACATCTAAGCTCACCTGTCATGGTTAACTGCTTTACTTTAGAATGTGTTGATGATTTTTTTCTTCACAAATTTCTTACAGAACACTCGACGCTGAGCTGCCGGTGGGTGAGTTGTTGAGAGAACATTCACTCGATGATAGTCCGGTAAGCCTGTACTCACTGTCTGATAAGTAAAGTCTGGTGCACATGTACAATACTTTGTGTCATCGTTCTCAATGCTCCAAGAAATAAAACATGACATATCTTCATATATGTCAGAGTATCTGGAACTTCCCAAGCAAAGGTATATACATAACCGGCGGTAAACGGTTTTCTGGATGCATATCTGAGTACTGTAATCTTGGTAAGGTTCTTCGTTTGCCTGCAATCATGTCTTAGACTATGTATTTTCACACACCCATAGGTCTATGCTGTAACTTTTACACACGATGGTTTATCTACACATACACAGCTTATACATTCCACTCAACTGCACACTTTGCATATAATCATATCTATGTACGGAGTCAATTTTACATCTAATGGTGCTCAGGGGTAGTGGTAGACACGCCGGATCACAAATACACATGTACAGATATATACGCAACTATCTACCAAACTGTAGGGAAGGGTGTTGTAAAGAAACTCCCTCACGCTTCCCACTGACTTGCCTGATATTTATTTCTAGAAAGACTGTTAGTTCGTTGAAACTCGTATACAAGTGGTAATGTAGCTTCAGTGACACCCCATAAAGTACCCGCGTCGCTTACTATCATTGCCCGCACGCTACTAACAATTTATGCACGTATCTAGATATATTCCGACATAGTTCATACTTGCACACAAGTCACTGCATCTCTGAATTGTGCATCTGCACACCTGCCACATGACTTACAGGAGATATACCAGTTGTCACCAACGTGTCAAACTTCGCTTGCGTTGCTATACCTGGCTCAACAGAAGGCCTCTGAGACTCGAGATTTCAAGGACCTCATGATGGAAGTCTCCGGGTTACAGGACATTGCTATCACTGGCAAACGCTCCGCAGAAGCTCAGCACGTGGAGGATACTAGTGAGACAACGGAGTGGAAGAACGTTCAGAAGCGGCACTGCCAGGCAAGTCGTACGGTGGGTAGGAATTCATTCAGTGTGATGGGACGGGGATGGGTTTTATCTTATCGTCATGCTACGAATATGAGTCCAATCCGGTGTGATGAGAGTCAAACTACGTACTCGTAAGTTGTAAATGCCTTGGGTGAAGATAGTCGGGCTTCACATAACACTGGATACATCGATTGCTTGGTCGGAATCTGGATGTCTCTGACCGTGTGCTTCGACCATAGGCTGTGATTTTGATGGATGATGTAAAGGTTCTTATGATACTTATCGTGCCTATTATGTAGGTCTTAGTCTGAGTGTGGAGAACACACAATTCGGACAGACGAGTGAATTGTAGACTTGCAATCAGTGTTTGAGTGAAGTTGAGGACATGCTACGAGATCGTAGATATGGGATTCCTTAAAGAGTGAAGGTGTTAAGCATATAGCGGCAGAAGCTCGTAGCGTACGAGACATTGATAGGTGTGCGTCAGCTCGACATATCTATTTTGGTTCATGTACAAAGGGGTGACCTGAGACTCTGTTTACCCCTAACTCTCTCACTTCCAAATCACGATAAGCATCAATCGGTGCTATAATCTATTATAAAGTACTATAGCAGTATTGAGCTCAATCTATCGCACGCCCTATTTGAACTAAAAGGCTGTTGCACTCGCTCTGATTGGTGAGGAGATCGACAGCGGCGACTGCATCAAACAGTCGGACGACGAGGCTCGTAGCGCAGTGGTAACTGAGCACAGACAGGATGAGCACGTTGACGGGGAAGCCAATTACGTGATTCTTAAAACTTTACAAGAACTACTTGTAAGCGATGGACACGTGAGTGCTGAGGGCTTGAGTGATAAAACTAGTCAAACAGGTAGTAAAAGAAGTGAGGACAGACCTTTGGGTGGCGTTCACGAGACCGTTGAGTGTGTTGAGGAGAAAGATTCAGTTATTGAGGACAAAATCACTGGTGATACAACTGAGCAAAGCGATAGAGAGAAGCGCTTGGTGGGTCTAAATGTGGTCGATGATTGCGTATCTAGTGAGACTGTTGCTGGTGATGAATATGAGGTAGCCGATGTAATTGTTATGGAGAAGGCGCACAAGGTAAACGCAGCCGGCAAGCAGGTGGTAGATAAACAAGATACAGATCATTGTGATACGGAGAATAACTTAGATGAGAAACAAGTGGCTGATGAAAAGACTCGGCACGTACGCGAGGAGTACTTGGGCCGTGGGCATGAGGTGAAGGTCAACTCAGGTGCAATCGCGGATGAGGATCCTGCATGTACGAATGATGTGGTACCGTCGAAGCCCAGGTAAACCCTTGCCTACACACACACACACACACATGTATATATATATATATATATATATATATATATATATATATATATATATATATATATATATATATATATATATATATATATATATATATATATATATATATAT